AGTAGTTGCTCTACGCTTAAATATTATGCGATATAATTGTAAATATGCAATGACTATATGACAATTGTATTATAACAATTCAAATGAAATTTCATATTTTCCGCAATTCGGACATATTGAATAAATAGTTCATACTTTAAATACTTGTAACGCTAGTATACAGAACAATTACGTATGAAGAGTCGTATATCTGCGTGTTACAATTTTGTGACACATATCCAATCACAGAGTCCGTCGTCCGTCAGAGAGTTCGCGAGACTCCATCGCTATCTTGTGGATGCAGTTGTTTGTGGAGTGCGTGCGTTTGATGGGTTACCTTTTATGGTGATTCGAGTAACAAGAAAACATTGGTTAAGCTTGTGATGCCTTAATAGCAGATTGAAAGAGAACCCTTAAAAAAAAGTAAGCTCATCAATTTTTATACCTAGTTATATTTTTTATTATTCTTTGTTCTTTTAACATGTTCCTCTCCGTTTGCAAAGTGATAGCACTTTGTAAATATAAAGATGACGGCATCATTGTGAATGAATGATTGACCTGTCTTATGCTGTGGATAATTACATCTTACAGCTATTGTATGTACCTTCTAGGCACCTAACAAATTTGTTAAATGGACACGAATATAAAATTGTTATTTCTCCAATAATTAACAAGATATTTCCCACGTTAAAATTAAAGCATAAGAGATCTCGTACTGCCGCACCTCAATTGCATTTTATTTTTCAGCTTGAAAAATAATTAAATTATTCTTCTCTTTTACATTTTTTTACTTTCTACTTAAGTGTTTCCCTTTTCTTTGAGTCTTTACATATACTGCATAGAGGAATTTAATAGAAAAAATAAAATAATTTTTATCGATTTAAATAATTTTTTCTATTTTAATATCAAAATTAATATATTATAGTTTCGTATAGAATTATAATTTATTGTTTATAGATGGTGATGAATTGGCTCATTTATTTATTAGTAGTAATCTTTCTTCTAATGTTATATTTATAAATGAAGGTACCTTTT